AGGGGACTGAGGTCACATGACCCGGAGGGGACTGAGGTCACATGACCTGGAGGGGACTGAGGTCACATGACCCGGAGGGGAGCGCTCCCTGAAGAAAACTCGTACATCATCGATCAAATTCCACATCTTTAAAGAAACGTTATTTATAAAACGTACCTTTTTTTGTCATCTACATTTTAAAATGGCCTCCACGTCAGTTTCTCAGGAACTTTCTAGTGTTTCTTTAAATTTCATGTTTGAAAATAAAAAGTGTTTTTTTATTTTTTGTCGAGTATTTTTAACTGACGTCCAGGTTTAATTTAAACCTAAACCAAAATGGCTTCTGGAGAAAACCTCATGATCCCGTCCTCGTCCCAGCGTTCAGCTCAAGAACCGGTTTAATGGAAGTCAGAGTTCTCTGGTGAGTGGTGGAACCACAGACAGGTACCAGACTGGACCCAGACCGCAGACGGGCCTTCCTCCTTCTGCAGCTCGTCTAGTTGCCGTGGAGACCGGCTGCTCTGGCTCGATGCTCGAGTCCAGGAGGAGAAAAGAAAGAGGAGCAGAATCAACGAGACCTTTTTGTTTTAGTGGGAACCTCCTTTTAGCCCCCGGTCACACCCGGCCCCGGACCGAGGAGCAGGAGGACTGCAGCGGTGCTGACTGGGTCTTTGTGTCAGACTCCCTCTCAGGGTGAGAGACTGACTTTATTTAAGACAAGGGCCCTTTTGTTTTAAGGCCGAGGCTGGCCCAGTAATTGGCCCACTTGGGCCTGCTTAGCATGAGAAAAGTCTCGTCGGCTCGGCGAGGCCAACTTTTGTTTCCACACGACCGACTCGCTGACGAGAATTCTGATGAGGTCCTGAAAAACAGTCCCGCCGCCTGAAACGCACCACGCACTAATTACTTAACGAGGAGCTGGGAAACCGTCTGGGCCTCAGCGGAACGACGGAGGAGTCTATTTAAAGGAGGAGGGGGAGGAGGCGCAGGTCCTTTTTCACCTCCTCAATAAACTTTTTGTGCCACTTTGAGAAAAATAAAAGAAAAAGTTGACCCGTCCTCCATCCTCCTGCCTCTTTCTGCGGGGGTTCTGGTCCCTGAATCGGCCCAGATGCCACTTGTTGCTGCCGAGACCAACGTCTGAGCCGTGACCAGAGCCGCAAGCTTCGAGGGGGTCGAAGGGGAAACGGCGGCGCAGAGAAGTTAGGCCGAGCTGTGAGGCGAACGTCTCGACGCTGAGCAACATGAAGGCCCGCTCCTGGAGGTAAACACCATCAGAACCAGAACCGGACCTGCCCCCGTCAGCTTGGCTTTGAAGGGACGGAGGCAGAGGAGTTCCCCCTGGATCCTGTTTTGAGCTTTGGATTTGTTTGGGGTTTTAGATTGTTGTTTGTGTGAAACTTTAATTTAGCTCTGCAGCGTCAGAGAAACAAAACAGCACGACGGCAGCTGTTTGAATTATTAACGTTGTTAAAGTTTAATAAAAAATGTGCATCGATCAAATCTAAAGGAAGAAATAAAGTTTTTAAAGTTTGTAAAGTTCGTAAAGTTCATAAAGTTTGTAAAGTTCGTAAAGTTTGTGGACAGAAAAGAGGTGGATGGTCTGAGAGAACCGTCACGTTCTTCTGTAACGAAACAAATCAGGTTTTTCTTCAGCAGACTTTAAACAAATGGTTTTATTTTATACGTTTTAAATGTATACGTTTTTATTTTAGATATTGTACATTTACATTGAACATCAACATTTTCTACAATCGGGCAAACGGAAAATAGAAAATAAACGTTTGGGACGTTTTATTTTTTAGCTCAACTATAAGAATGTCTCGTCTTGATACTCACGTTTATATTTAATGTATTTTGATTTATTTTAAACAGTTTCAAGTGAAATGAATAAATTTAATCTGACACTGCCCGGATCAGATTAACGACGTCGCTCGACGTCTAATCTGGCTCCAGTTTGGTGTTTGGACTCTGAGTGATGCTGAAACTTCTCGTGGACTTTCAGAAACATTAATGACTAACAGTGATATTACTTTGATATTTCAAGTTATTATAAAGTTACTATCCACACTGTAACTCTGAGTACTTCAGGTATTTTCAACTCTTCTTCCGTTTCGAGTGTTTCGTTCTTTAATTTCACGGTTCTTCGTTCCGGACGTTAAACGTTGGCGTGTTTCGTTCATGAAGAAGCTTCTCTGTTTCCAACGTGTCGAGTTTTCTTGAACCAGTTTGTCGATCTTCAAAAAACAAGTTGAAGTAAAAATATATTTATGAGTTACTGGTCTAGTTTTTAATCTTTACAAAGTCTTTTGATCTTTAGGAAGAAATGTGTTCCAAAATATCAACTTTATTCTGAATTCCTCTTTGCTTCGAGTTCCTTGTGTCCCAGAAACGGCTCTGATGAACGTTTGGGTTTTTACGTTCGTCCTCGGAGTTCGGACTGTTGTCAACCGTCACATTTCTCGTTTGTCAGTTTCAGAACACGGACACATGTACACGGACACGGACACATGTACACGGACACGGACACATGAACATGGACACGGACACATGTACATGGACACGGACACATGAACATGGACACGGACACATGAACATGGACACATGAACATGGACACATGAACATGGACACATGAACACGGACACATGAACATGGACACATGAACATGGACATGGACACGGACACATGGACACATGAACATGGACACGGACACATGAACATGGACGCGGACACGGACACATGAACATGGACACATGGACACGGACACATGAACATGGACACGGACACATGGACACGGACACATGGACACGGACACATGGACATGGACACGGACACATGAACACAGACACATGAACATGGACATGGACATGGACACGGACACATGAACACGGACACATGAACATGGACATGGAACCATTCCACTCAAACATCTCGAGGCTCTGAATACGAGACTTTTCATCTTTTATGTTCAAATGATCATTTCAGGATCGTGTCATTAAATCAAATATTCTGAATTACGTCTGGATTAGAAACATTTGTCTAATTCTGTTTATTTGTATTTAACTTTTAACATTTCCAGATGATTCCAGATGTTGTTTTAATCTTACATCACCATTTAAATGTTTTTCCTTTTGTTGTTACCCAAAATGCAACTTGTTTTTATTCTTGACTTACAGTTTTTGTTACGGTTAACTTCTGGAGAATTTGTCGACTGCTCGGCCCTTGATCTGTTCACCAGTGTGACCATCACTCGTTTTGTTTCTTCCCGTGTTCTGACCAGTCCATGTTGGGAGGAGAGTTGGGTTTGGGGAGTCCTGGGGCGTCGTCGCCCACCAAGCCCGCGGGTCAGTACTACCAGCACTACGGGGCCAATCCACGGAGGAGAACGCTGCACATGGACACCGTTGGTGAGAAGCTCCGACACAAAAGCTGAAGTCTTGAAGGACACGTCGTCTTTAAAAATATCTTGAATCATCAATAAACAAAGAAGTAGATGAGATTAAACAATCACTTCCTGTCCCGGTACAACTGAGGTTTTGGTGAAAAGACTGACGTGTTTAAAAACTCTTTCAAAGTAGAAATATTTAAAATTTAACTGTTAGGAACGAGCTGAAAATAGAAAAGGTTTAAAAAGAATGAAATGATGTAACGTCCTGTTTCCTGCATGAACGTCTCTTTGAACCCTAAAACACTTGAGCTGTTTTATTTTTATTTATTTTTTACTTTGTCACTATTAAAATTTAAATGGGCTAAATGAGGAACTGCATTACAACAATATTACTACAATATTATAACTGCATTATAACAATATTGCTACATTGTTATAACTATTATAACAATATTACATTATAATAACTAACAATTACTACATTATTATAACTATTATAACAATATTTCTACATTATTATAACTGTATTATGTAACATGATTTTAATATGACAAAGTTAGAATTAGGTTATTACAAATAAAACTAAGTTTTAATCTTAATATCTTATCATTAGTATGCCACTTAGTAAACGCTGGTCATAAAATAAATAAATGTAAAGCAAGCGTGTTTGGTCTCGTGTTTATAATTTTACTGTTCATATTTATTTGATTTTAAATGAACATGTTCTTGATTAATAACATATTTATGAAAGAGAAGATGTTTTAAGTTTTGAGTATTTTGTATCCAAACTACAGAATACCAGTAAAACCACCAAAGAGTATTTGATAAAACATGTTGCTAATTTTATTGTTAGAAGCAGTTTTTTTATTTATTTGATACGAGTCTTAAAGACGTAAATAAGTTTGTTGTTAAATTAAGTTTTTATTGTGATCACTTTAATATTTGGTTCCAACGTCACTGGAAACTGGTTTAATATTTATAAACCCTGAAGGGCTCGATTCTGTTGAGTTTTTACTTTGCTCTAAGTTTTATTAAGTTTGGCAGCAAAATTAAATTAATGTTTATATTAAAACTTTAAAATGTTAGAAATGACTTTTAATTTGAGTTTACTTTAAATTCTGGGATACCATGACATTTTGTGATTAGAGTACTTTTATTCAAAATATAAGTCCAGTGCTGTTACTGGATGATGCCAGTTAAAATAATATTAATAATAATAATAATAATAATAATAATAATAATAATGATAATGATAAAAGTAATAATAATAAACAGACATATAGAGCAGTGTTATCCAACAGGCGGCCCTGGGGCTAAATCCGACCCACTGGTGAGCTCCGCTGGGCCCAGTTGGGTTCATTTTTAAATAAAACTAGACTTTTAACCTTCAATCAAACTTGAAGACAATAACTGATGGATGACCCCCCCCCCCCCCAGTTTAGTTTAGCAGTTTAGTTGAAAAGCCCTGCTGTAAGGTCTATCAAACTATTTACACGCAGTTTTTATAAATAAATTAATAATAAACGTCGTATTACTGAACTTGACTTTAAGTTCTTCCACTGGTTCTAAGGTGAAACTTTAATCTGTATAAACATGAACAAACATCTTTTAAATCATGTTTCACTGTTTTTATTCACTTATTTTGAAACCGTGATCTTTACTTTCCCGTCAAAATGGCCTGAAAGTGAACGCATCGTGGTGCATTTATTTACAGGATAAAACAAATTCAGTGTTTTAAATGATTTAGTTTCTTTTGTGGCCTAAAACATTTACTTTATTGCAAATAGTAACGTGTTTGTTGTCTTCAGCACCGGAGAAGAGTGAACCGTTCATTTATAAATACATTTTTTAATGTCCATCCTGTCAGAGCTTTTCAAAATAAAGTTTGTTTTGTATGAACAGGTGGATGTTTGTTGCAGCGCAGCCTCGGTAGCGTTGTCCTTGAGACGAGACAAACATCCATTCAACAAAAAAATTAACTATTTCTGGGACGATTTCCAAAAAAAGATGAGCTTATTATTTTATCTCTTCAAAGTTTCACTTTGTGAATAAATAAAAACTCCCCTTGAGATTAAAAAAACATAAAAGCTGCTCTGTGTGTTTATTTATTTAAACAATGCCGTGTTTGTTGTTTTCTGCTGCGCATCTTTTAGTGTTGCTCCGGTTTTGTGAGTGACGACGGTGAATTCAGAGGCGCTTCTTTAAACGAGAACCGAACGCTCTCGGCCCGTCGGACCTCACGTTTTGTCTCGTTTTGTTTCTCCACCACAGACGTCCACACAAAGAAAGTGCGGAAGGTCCCTCCCGGCTTGCCGTCCTCGGTAAGTGACCTCTTTAATGGTTTCCTGGTTGTATTGATGGTGAGTGTGAAGATGTGGTGAATGAAAACTGACGTGTGGAGGAGAGCCGCCCGGCCGTTTCCTCCTGCGAGGTGACGACCATGGAACAGCTGCTGACTCCTCGGTGTTCACAGATGTTCTGGACGCAAGAGTTTCATGTTGTAAAAACAATAACTTGGTGGAATCCTGTGAGAATAAAAGTTCTTCTTTGTAGTAATTTATCGTCAGTTAAATTATTACCAGCTGAATTAGTTTCTTATTAATCCGGTCAACAGTTGTGAAGAAGAAAGTTCAAGTTCTGTTGGAACGGATTAATTTGACGAGAAATTTGGTCCAAAAATGTTTCACATATATACCCATGTGTGTGTGTGTCTGTATTTATATATATCTATATATATCTATATCTATAGATAGATAGATAGATATCTGTCTATATATATCTATATCTATATATCTATATCTATATATATAGATATAGATAAATATATATAGATATATTTATATATATCTATATATATCTATATCTATAGATAGATAGATAGATATCTGTCTATATATATCTATATCTATATATCTATATCTATATATATAGATATAGATAAATATATATAGATATATTTATATATATCTATATATATCTATATCTATAGATAGATAGATAG